TTTTAGAGGGTATCCCCTACACCCATGATCCTCAAGTAATTTCTGTGGATTTTGCTTTCTTAGTTATTTTAATAAATTATGAGGAATGCCAAAATAAAAAAATACATTTTAACTTATGTGTACGCAGATATGCAGCTTTACGGAAGTGGGTCTTTATCCGTGAAGACACAAATATGCCTACCTCTCTTTGTGCTGGGAGCATGCTGCATGGAGTATTCCCCTCAAACTAACGATCAGGGCCAACTGATCAGTCACTGTGCAGCCCACCCAAGTGTTTTCTTTTTCTTATGAATGGAGAGGAATCTACATTGTATCTTTCCGTCCTTGCAGGAGATAAAGATGTGAAAAAAGGTGTGAAAATAATAATAATAAAAGAGTCCAAAAATAAAGAAAAAATAGCTAAATCAGGGTTTAATCTAGGTCAGTGTCAGGGTTTGTGTTAGGATCAAAGGTCAGGGTCAAATGTTGTGTTCAAAGGTCAGGGTCAGTATATTTTGGGTAAGATTTTTTTTAAGCTATTTTTAACTTAGTATCAGTGTCTGTTAGTGTCAGTGTCAATGTGTTTCCTTTCGACAAACTGTCTTGCATGAGTTCCAAATTCTTTCTCACCCTCTTGAGCTGTTCTCCTCAGTCCATAAATTGCTACTGCAGGAGAAGGACTGTTACCGAAAACATGTACCTTCATTCGATAGTCTATGACTTCATCGTTGACATCATTATTGCGGTACCATCGGGACCTGAGGAAGTTTTGTGTAGTCTTCACGGATGATGAAACAGTGGACCATCTGCTGCAACTGGCTCTTGTCTGAAGTGAAGTAAAACTCCTATGAGATTGTTGTTCAGATTAGGCCCAGTGAGAACATTGTCAATGATTGAGACGCCTTCATGACGAGCACTTGAGTCAAAGACCACCCTAATATGATCAGGCTTGCAAGGATGGTAGACACCAAAGCATGGTAAGTACCAACATTCTTCTCCTTCCATAAGAGGAGGTGCAGGCTCAGCATGATCTCTCTCAAATACCTTCTACATGAGGTCCACAAAGTACTTTTTCATCTCAGGCTTCTGGTTCAAACTGCGATTTAAAGAAACAAACCAAGATTCTGCATGTACCCTGTTGTTTGGTAGTCTCTTTCTTTGGATATGAAATGGTAGAGGTGCTACCCAACTGTTGGAATCATCTTGGTAGAACTCTTTACTTATGGTTTTCAAGAATTCTTTGTCTTCTATGGTAGCTGCCAACTCATTGTCTTTAGTGGTTACCTCGAACACTGTGTTGCCGATGTTGTCATCCCAGAGATTAAGAGCTTTCTTATTGTCTTGTATGATGTGCTGTTGTGCACCTTTTTCAAACAGTCTTTCTTTCACAATATATTTATGTGGTCATTGTGCAGAACAAGTTGTCTGTCCTTTTGACAGGAAATGTGTTTTAAAGGAAGAGACTGAGTAGGACCTCCTGTCCTTGTCTAGGCAGACATTGCCTATGATGACCCATTCTAGATCCAAACGATGAGCATATGGTGTATTGTGTGGACCATTGATTTGATGACGAACTTTGTGCACCCTTAGGATGTCTCGACCAAGTAACAGCAGGATATCGGCACTTTCGTCGAGGGCTGGTATTTGGTTGGCTATGTGCTTTAAGTGAGAATGGTGAAAAGCAGCTTCAGGAGTATGATCTCCTCTTTGATGCTTGGAATCTGGTTGCACTCAGTGATAGTGGGTATAGATATTTTCACATTGTCATTCAGAGGAGCAACTACAAGACCGCTGGCTCTTCTACCTAAGACTTCTGTAGTGCCGGAACAAGTGCTTAGAGTATAAGGCAGAGCATCTCAAGTTATGTTCAACAGTTCAAAAAACTGTGTTCTTGCAAGAGATCTGTTACTCTGATCATCCAGAATAGTATACAGTCTTATGGCCTTTTCAGGTTGACCTTTGGGGTATACACAGACCAAGCATATCTTTGCACAGGATTTGTCGCAGAATCCTTCTCCACAGACCAGGGGCGGACTGACAACTCATGGGGCCCCCGGGCAATAGGGGATCATTGGGCCCCTATGTCCTTGCCCAAACTCAAAAAAGCCTATGAAAAAGGTACCAGGGGCATCTCATGGGGCCCCCTACTGACCCCGGGCCCTCGGGCAGTGCCTGAGTTTCCAAATGGTCAGTCCGCCCCTGCAACAGACCTCTGTACATGTAGAGAAACACTGGGGTGGTAGGTGCTGCTTGATCTGGGCCCTCCCCGCTTTGCTTTGCCTCAGGAAGATTGTTTGTGAGCGTAGTAGAGTTGTGCGAATATTGATGAAGAGCTTGCACATGGTCATCACTGTCACACGCTACACATTTGATGATCGCTTTACAGTCCTTTGCAAAGTGTTCTGTGGAGGCACAGCATTTGTAGCAAACCCCAAATTTCTTCAAAAGTTCCTTACGTTCTTGGAGGGTTTTCTTTCTGAAGTCGATACATTTCTTAAATGGATGTGGGTTGTTATGTATTGGACATTGGCGATTTGGGTCCTCAATTCTCTTGTTTTGATCAGTCTTTTCAAGAACTGTAGCAGGTGCAGGTAGAACATTAGTCCTTTTCACTAACGCTGGACCTCTACGGTCTTTGTGCAACATACGTGTTTTCGTAGGTCTTGGAGAGAGTGTACTGAGAAGGTTACAGTCCCCATATGAGAAACTTGGGTCATTCTTAGTGTCTGCAATTCTTTTGATGAACTCGCAGAAGTAGGAAAAAGGAGGAAAGGCAATTCTATGTTCTTCCTTATACTTTGATCCAAGCACTGCCCATCTTTCTTGAATTCCATATGGTAGCTTGAGAACAATAGATTTGATGCCATGAGAGGTGTCAAGGTAACTGAGACCAGGTAAGTTGATGTCAGCCTTAGCAAGTTGAAGCTCAAATATAAAATCACTCAGTTCTTGAAACTTTAGATTGTCGCTAGCAGAAATCCTTGCAAAGCTTTGCAACCTTTTGAATAGAGCATCTTCAATGGCCTCTGGGCTGCCAAAGGTATGTTCAAGTCTGCCCCAAGCAGCATTAAGGCTTGCAGCAGGGTTGTCAATATGAACTGCTTTGAGTCTCTTGATGTGTTCAGTAGATTGGGGACCTAGCCATCTGATGAGTAGATCTAATTCCTCTGTGGCATTGATGTCTAGGTCACTCATTGTGGCCTTAAAAGTGGATTTCCAGCCTCTGTAATTTTCAGGCTTGTCATCAAACTTGGTGAGGCCTGTCTTAACAAGCTCTCTGCGGAGCATGTATTTAGCAAACTGTCACATGTCCGTGTTTTCGTACTTTGGGTGCATGACTGCAGGTGGAACAGAGTTGATTGTGATGGTTGGTGGACTTACATGGAGTGATTTGGGAACATATGTTGCTGCTAAGGCATTCAATGCCGGAGCTGGCTTAGAGTCCATTGGCATGTTGGTTTGTAGAGTAGTGCGCTTGCTAGGAGGTACTCTGTTGGTGCCAAAGTATGATGGATGGTCTGTTAAATACACACTAGTGTCTGCGGCTAGCTGAGATGCTGCAGTCTGATATATTGGAGGATATAAGGGCAAATGGTCTTAAGGTACAGTATGTGCAGAGAAGAGACTTTGATTGAGTACTTTGGCTGTTGTGACAGGGAGTTGACGTTCTGGAGAGGTGTGTGAAGAATCTGAGACATAAGATACAACTGAGTGTCTGGAACTGTTGTCTTTCGTTTTCACTAGTGGCTTGTTCTAAGACCCTTAACCTTGCCAAGGCTGTGGCATGCTCACATTGTTTTTCCAAAACTTCAATTTCTGCCTTTTGGCGTGTGGCTTCAGCTTCTTTCTCTGCTTTCTGATGTGCGGCCTGAGCCTCCATTTCTGCTTTCTTATATGCGGCTTGAGCCTCTATTTCTGCGGCCTGAGCCTCTCTTTCTGCTTTCTTATATGCGGCCTGAGCCTCTATTTCTGCTTTCTTATATGCAGCCTGAGCCTCTATTTCTGCGGCCTGAGCCTCTCTTTCTGCTTTCTGATGTGCGGCCTGAACCTCCATTTCTGCTTTCCTATATGCGGCTTGAGCCTCTATTTCTGCGGCCTGAGCCTCTCTTTCTGCTTTCTTATATGCGGCCTGAGCCTCTATTTCTGCTTTCTTATATGCAGCCTGAGCCTCTATTTCTGCGGCCTGAGCCTCTCTTTCTGCTTTCTGATGTGCGGCCTGAGCTTCCATTTCTGCTTTCTTATATGCGTGATTATCTGTGAGGCTGGCCACACCCCCTCCCACCTACTCACGTTGCCAAGACTCACAGGGAGTCCTCAATCAGAGCTCCTGAACAGAGCTGCTGGGGGAGGAGCGAGAAGGGAGGAGGAGTGATCTGTCCTCACGTCTGTTCAGAAGCACAAAAATTGTGGCGCCGGCAGCCTGGCACAGGGGACACACTATCCAGGAATATTTCCTATTTTTGGGAAGAAGACAGGCTGTGACAGGGCTTTAAAATCCAGGACCATCCCGGGCAATCCGTGACCATTGGCAACTATGTAATTGGCCCATTAAGCTAATCAAGCAAAAGCAATAGAAGATATATTACAATTACTCTCCAAATATCAGGTAACCTATTAGATGACTGAAGATCTGACCCAAAGATGGCTGCCAACTAATGGGTGAAGTTGGTTTTCCCCAAAATGACATCTAGGTCATACAATCATTAACAGCAAATAAACTATCTTACAACATAATCTCCTAATCAGATCCATAAATAGATAAAATTAATGATGTAAAGTTATACTTTTATAAATATTTCTACAGGAACAAAATACATTTTTTTTAGAAATAATTCATCCATTACTGATGTGAATGTACAATACATATGTAAAGCCTACAGGCAATAAGTTCTACATGTCAATACCACAAGTCACCACAAAGATGGGGTTAGTGTTAGATTTTAAGATAAAAGATAGATACACTATATTGCCAAAAGTATTGGGACACCCCTCCAAATCATTGGACTCAGGTACACCTAGCCATGCAGACTGCTTCTACAAATATTTGTGAAAGAATGAATCGCTCTCAGGAGCTCAGTGAATTCAAGCGTGGTACCGTAATAGGTTGTCACCTGTGCAATAAGTCCATCCGTGAAATGTCCTTGCTACTAAATATTCCACGGTCAACTGTTAGTGGTATTATAACAAAGTGGAAGCAACTGGGAACAACAGCAACTCAGCCACAAAGTAGTAGGCCACGTAAAATGACAGAGCGTGGTTAGCGCATGCTGAAGCGCACAGTGCTCAGAAGTCGCCAACTGTCTGCAGAGTCAATAGCTAAAGACCTCCAAACTTCATGTGCCCTTCAGATTAGCACAACAACAGTGTGGTGTGGGTTTGTCTTTTCAGGGTTGGGCTTGGCCCCTTAGTTCCAGTGAAGTGAACTCTTAAGGTGTCAACATACCAAGAAATTTTGGACAATTTCATGCTCCCAACTTTGTGGGAACAGTTTGCCCCTTTTTTATTATACATTTTTATTTCACATTTTTTATTAGGAGTGTTTTTATTATGACTTGCTTTGATGGGGTGAGAACTTATTTGAGATAAAGATTTATGTTACCATAATATATCAGCTCCATCTATAAGAATGATTTATTAGGGATTGCATGTAGATTTTATTGACTTACATTCTTAATGTGTATAAATATTGGCGTGGTTGGTGATGTGCGCCCTTCCGCCCCTGGAGGATGTCAAGTGATGAAACGCATAGGGTGGGGCTTTGGACATGATGTCACTACGCTCTCAGGTTTATCTGCTCATGGCCATAGATTGTGGTCAGAGTGAGCTCTGGTTTTAAGTCAATGCTGTGTAACTTCAGTGGAGACATTCGAAAATGTGAGTGCACATATTTTTAAAAAATAAAGATCACATTTTAAGGATTTTATGCTGTGCGAGTTCTTTTCTCTTCTTCTTCCCTATGATTGATGATCAGGATATCATTGGCGATCGAAAGCTATTGAGGATTCATTGGATCTGCAGATTATTACTCCCAAAGGGGAATGCGCTGCAAGCTGGCTGTTTCACACAGCAGCATGTACCTTTGGTGAGTTTATTTAGTATTTTGCAGTGGTGGATTCACAGTGATGTTTGCTGGAAGAAAGAAGATAGAATAAGAAATAAGAAAGCAATTTTCCTATTCAGTCTATCACATGGGATAGTATATATATCAATATATGTGTTAAATGTCATTGATTTATAGTGGTTGAATTGGCTTATAGCACATAATTGTTTTGTATTGCAAGTGGGAAGGTGCATGGTTTTGAATATTTTACTTTTCATCTTTTTTTTTTTATTGATACAGCAAGGTTGGATGTACACTGCAACACAGATTATGATAATTTTTAGTGGATTAATATATGGTAACTAGGTACTTATTAAAACCGTAACAAGGTTAGTGCAGCGCCACCCTTTGATTGTAAATTAGATATTCTGTTGGGCTTACCCCAATAGGGCGTCAGCAGCATTAATTTAAATACCAACACACTTATTGAGATTTTTCACAGATAAATCACATTTTGTCCTTCACTCAGGAGACAGTGCTTACATAATACATTTTTGGATATTGGAATAAGGCTCATAGGGTTTGTAGGAGTTGCTATATCAAAAATGTGTTGTGGCGCAGTTCTTTTACATAATAAACCACAGTTTATGTTAATGAAATACATACTTGTCATTTCTCATGGAGTCCATTTACTTTACAGGGAGTTAGGAGTCCATGAGCTGGTCGGTAACCCAAGAGAGAGACATGTCCGAGATGTCCAGAAAAGGGACTGAGTGGAAAATCCAGGGATACTCCTGATGGCCAGTCTACAAGGACAACCAGGACCAAAGGTGCCCAGAGTCATCCATTCCACACCGACAAACGGAGGACCAACTTTGTATGTGTACTTCAGCATTGACCCGTTATCCTTCTGAACAAACCACAGAAACCTGCAGGTATCCAAGCACCGAAGACCAAGGATTGGTACACCAGGAGCCTACATAGAACATCACTCAAATGGAGGATGCCCTAGTAGCAGTCCAGAACCTGGTAAGCCCTGTTTCATCAAAATTTTTGCATTTGTAATTATTCCAAACAAGAGTAGCATTCAAAGAATTTCAGAAAGGGATTTGTCAGAATTTTTTTATGGAAAATGAAGATTTATTTATCATTTTCAATTCTGGATAAAAGACTGATTACAAATAAGATTCCAATATCTTCATTTAAGTTTGACCTTCCCACCATAAGACATTCTGTTTTCCTCAACTGGAATTGCTGGGGTTTCTGGTATACTCACAACATCTGGAACCGAAGACAGACTGACCAATATTTACAAGGATCTCCAGGTCCCATAAATGTAGATTTTGGACACAGCAAATTAACAAGACTGGTTAGCCAGTGACTAACCATTGTCTCGACTTTGAGAAAGACAAACACAAGAAGAGACCCCTCTCAAAGAAATTAACTGTTTGTTTCACTAGCTCAAAGCATTTATATAATATAAGTCAGTTCATAAACTCTATACTGCAAGTCATAGGATATGACCCTGTGTAATATGTACACTATATTGCTATATTGGTACCATGATAGGTTGCCACCTGTGCAATAAGTCCATCCGTGAAATTTCCTTGCTACTAAATATTCCACGGTCAACTGTTAGTGTTATTCTAACAAAGTGGAAGCAACTGGAAACAACAGGTGTGAAAACAGCAGCTAAGTGAAGCTGATGGTGTTCAAGACGCTAATCCTGTTCTGAGAAAGGAAGATTGCTGCCAGGAAGGCTGATGAGATCGCATGCTTGTTGGAGAGACATTTGTTCTGTTCACAGTCACCAGCGGATGCAAGGCAGACCCGGGTCGGTAAGATCGTGCACGCACCTCATTTCAGTGTTGGCGCCTCCAGAGACAGAGGCCAGGCCTATAGTTAGTTAGTTAGGGTCTCTGTTTGTGTCAGGCCACAAGTGTTGTTACTGATCATTGGAAGGACTCCACAACTTAAAGTGACATTTCACATTGGAGAGCTGATAAAATCCTACAAACTCAAGCCAGACTGGCGTTTTGCTCAGAAGGAATACTCAGGCACGTGCTACAGGACTAGTTATGGGAGGGGGAATACTGTAGATTTGTGTAAGATTGTAAGCTGTTGTGCTGCATCGCAGGCTAGCCCATACCGTACACCCATACACTGATTCCTGCTCTCTTAGGGTAATAACAGGTAAGGTGTGGTAGCTTAGTTGTGCACTCCAGTAGGTAAATATACTTCACTTTCTACCTACATCCATCAGAAGGCGCCTTGTGCAGCACAAGGGTCTCAGCCTTTGGGCTGGGTGTATGTACATTTATTGTATGTTTCCAGCATTTGTGGTTGTGTGTTTATTTGCCACATCTAAGTAAAATTCTGTTGTGGCAAAAGCTGGTGTTGGGGTTGCTTTCCTCGTTCGTGACTTCACTGTATCCTGGGGAGCCCACCATGGTACACGGCTTACACTTGACTGGCCTGCACAGAGTCCTGACCTCAACCCGATAGAACACCTTTAGGATTATTTAGGAGTGGAGGCTGCAAGCCAGGCCTTCTCCTCTGACATCAGTGCCTGACCTCACAAATGCACTTCTGGAAGAATGGTCAAACCTTCCCATAGACACACTCCTAACCCTTGTGGACAGCCTTCCCAGGAGAGTTGAAGCTGTTATAGCTGCAAAGGGCGGGCCAACTCAATATTGAATCCTATGAACTATGACTAGGATGCCATTAAAGTTCATGTGCATATAAAGGCAGGCACCCCAATACTTTTGGCAATATAGTGTATATACATACAGTATTTCTTACAAGCCAATGGGTTATAAATTTTTGTTACGGACAAAATTACTATAAGTATCATATGATTTTATATTGTTACTCAATGTTGTAAGATATCTATAAAATATTTTATCCTGACACAATATCCCATTGCTAGAAAGGATTTCTGAATAATAACACGGGTTATAATATATGTGAATTTTACGGTATCCCTTGAATAATTCAGTACAATAAGGCTATAAATAGCATAAAGATACACTTTTCCCCAAAAAGTGTAAAAACTGTGAATATAAATATGCTAATACCAATATTTTAGAATCTGGTAAAACCTCATAGAAGTCCATGTGGAGGAACCAGGGAACTCTGAAAGGTTTGGATATTCTGATAAAGGCTAATTTAAAGAGGAATCACGATGTAAGCATATTCAATAAAGTATTTTAAATTGTATATGCGGGTTTATGCTATGATTTATTCTATATATGGTTGGCTTTGGTGGATTGGTGGAGACTCATGGTTATATTTGAAAGCTGCTATATCTGGATGACATCTTGATCTGATCTATGAGGCTGTGATGATCCTTTGGTTGAAGCAGAATTTGTGATAATACCCTCGTCGGGAGGTGTAAAGGCATATCATTTACATATTTTTGGTAAGGGTATTCACTCCTTACACTGTAGAAGTGGACACAGTGTTTCACATGTTGTTTTTGGATGCATATTTTTCACTCGATTGATTCACTGGCACTATTTTGACACTTTCACTTTTTTCACTATTTGTGATCACCCATGGTTGTTTGCGTTTATCACATCTGTTTCATTTATAATTTATTTAAGATAATGCACTATGTGATTTTTCTTTTTATGTTGAGGTTTCTTTGAGCCATTGAAAGGCTGAATATGAAGATTGATGATTGAAGTTGGCACAGAGTGACTTTTTTATAAACATTATTTATTTAATTTTATTTCTTATCTAATTTTGGACTGTTACATTTTGAATTTTTTTTTCTCTTTTGATATATTTGTGTGATATATACTTTTGGGAGTAATGGTATTAGCATATTTATATTCACATCATAATAATACGGGTTGTTTATGTGTAACCCCCCATTGCTGGAAACAAATGTATGTTATAGGGCATCTATAATCAATAAGTAGTTGAGTATGCAAATTATTAGATATATAGTTATTTTTCTGTCCTATATGTGTATAACTAATATTTGGATCGTTACAGATGAAACTACACATCTTTATAGTTAAGGTGTTACATTTAAAATATTGCTACACCAGAAAGGTAATGATCATACACTGGCAATTACCAGATCTCCTAAGTATTCTATATATTTTAGATAATATCACTTGGTCCCACTTGTTATAGTAAAATCTTAATTGGAGCTATAACAGATTATTTTATAAAATACGTTTCCACGATATAATTTTAGTATAGACAAAAAGTGTCATAGAGTGTCACCTGGTGGCCAAGGGAGATAATACAAAAATAATAATCAACAAGCAAAATGAGGGAATTAATTTTAGTTCAGGCATACCTCGGTTTACGAACGCCTTGGTTAACGTAATGTTCGGTTTACGAATGAAAATCCATTGAAAATAATAATAATGAACCTTTTCCTTCACTTATACTGAAAACCCATGTATAACAATACAAAAATAAATAATATAAATATATCACTTAATCCAAAAACTAAAATGATATCCAAAAATAAATAAAATACTTCAAAATAATACAAAAATTGTCCAAAGTAATATCTGAATAAAATAAAATAAAATCAAATGAATAAATAGTCCACCAAAGTATCTCAACCCAGTGTGTTGAACTTTAAATTTTCTATTCCTAGCCTCGTGATACCTCGAAAAAATAAACTATAATAGTGTATTATCTTGTAAATATCACATAAATGTATATACCTTAAACATATAAGTATATACTAAATCAGTGCAAACAGTATATATAAATATGTACACAAAAATATATATTCAGATTCAACTGTGGGTGACACGTGAATCATGCAAAAATCATTCCGTGCACACTCCAACAATAAGTGAAAAATAGTGTACAGTACACTCCAAACAACAACACACACAAAAAAAAAAAAAAGATAAAATAAATAAATCAATCAAATAAGTAAAGTGAGACAAATCAATTAGTGCAGTGAACACTCCGTGACCACCTCTAAATAGTGAGATTGAATGCAATTACCCTCAGGGAGTAATATCAAGCTTATCTGGATGTTCTAGATGTATATAGCAATCACTTCCAGGCTTTCATTCACTTAAGATATAGTAGTAGTAACTATCAATCCTCCATATTCCTCATAAAGTAGAAAGGAGACTTATATAGTATATATTTAAAGTATAAAGACATTTTAATATAGCATCTTACATTGGGGTAGATAATAATCAGCTTTGTGCCAACAAACCAGCCTCAGTAGCTTCCTAAGTTCAGAAAACCACGTTTTTCAGATTCCAAAATGGCCACGCCGACACTTCCGGTTTAGCGTAATACGTCAGACGTCACGTCCACTGGCGCGTTTCGTCAATTCCGGACTTCTTCTGATGGGAAACCGCGTTTTGGTTTATGAATTTTTTGCAGTACGAATCGTCCTGGAGAAAGCATTAAATGCGTAAACCGAGGTACACCTGTAGTTGGCTGCCTAATCACTTGTTAACCGTTGCCGTGCTAACCATTACTGACAGAAAAAAGCAAATCCCAACCTAAGGGATAAACATGGGTTTAGTTATTAAACAAATTCACCAATCATAGAGAAGGTTCTGACTTTGGGGTCATGTTTATTAAAATTTTATAAGGGTATAGTTTTGCAACTCAATAGGATGGCAAGGGCACAGGGAGATCATCTGCACCTACGGGAGGAGACCCACCAGAAAAATCTGATACACATCAATTGATACCACATTTGCTGTTAATGATCGTATGACCTAGATGTCATTTTGGGGAAGACCAACTCCACCCATTAACTTGTTGCCGACCACAGATAGCCGAATGACGGCTGCACTGCGGCCGGCCAGTTCTGAGTGGACGTCATATGACGTCCCCCCAGAACGCGCTCTCCTGCGCGCCCCAGGGGGCGCGCACCCGGCGATCTCAGTGATCGCTGTGTCCTACGGACACAGCTGATCACGTGATGTGGTAAAAGGCCAATCACAGCGGCCTTTTACCACCTGATCAGCTGTGTCCAATGACACGCTGATCAGAGGGAAATGCAAGTGCCGGTTCTCGGCTGCACTTTCCTCACGCTGTCAGATCGTGAGGAAAGTACTGCCGAGAACCGGCAGTTGTCAGAGCGGGGATCGGCACCGATCATCAGGGCACTGATGATCAGTGCCCTGATGATCGGTGCCCAGCAGTGCCACCCACAAGTTCCGCCCACCTGTGCCCTGCAGTGCGCCCACTAGCTCCGCCCACCTGTGCCCAGCAGTGCACCCACCTGTGCCCAGCAGTGCACCCACCTGTGCCACTCTGCAATTTCACACACCTGTGCCCAGAAGTGCCACCTACCTGTGCCCAGCAGTGCCACCCACCTGTGCCCACCAGTGCCACCCACCTGTGCCCACCCACCAGTGCTGCCCACCAGTGCCACCCACCAGTGCAGCCCAGCAGTGCTGCCAGTCAGTGCCACCAGTCAGTGCCCAGCGGTTGTGCCAGTCAGTGCCGCCAGTCAGTGCCCAGCAGTGATGCCAGTCAGTGCCGTCTATCAGTACCCATCATCAGTGTCACCTATCAGTGCCGCCTATCAGTGCTGCATATTAGTGCCGCCTATCTGTGACACCTCATTAGTGCTGTCTATCAGTGCCGCCTATCCGTGCCACCTCATTAGTACTGCCTATCAGTGCCCTTTAGTGCTGCCTATCAGTGCCCATCAGTGCCGCCTATCAGTGCCCATCAGTGCTGCCTCATCAACGCACATCAGCGAAGGAGAAAAATTACCTGTTTGAAAAATTTTATAATAGAAACAAAGAAACACTTTTTTTTTTTTCAAATTTTTCGCAATTTTTTATTTATAGCGCAAAAAGTAAAGCGCCCAGTGGCAATTAAATACCACCAAAAGAAAGCTCTATTTGTGAGAAAAAAATGATCAAAATTTCATATGGGTACAATGTTGCATGACCGCGCAATTGTCAATCAAAGTGCGGCAGCGCTGAAAGCTGAAAATTGGCCTGGTAAATAAGGGGGTATAAGTGCCTGGTAGGCAAGTGGTTAATAGGCAGCTATCTTTGGGTCAGATCTTCAGTCATCTAACAGGTTACCTGATATTTGGAGAGTAATTGTAATATATCTTCTATTGCTTTTGCTTGATTAGCTTAATAGGCCAATTACATAGTTGCCAATGGTCATGGATTGCCCGGGATGGCCCTGGATTTTAAAGCCCTGTCACAGCCCGTCTTCGCCCCGAAAATAGGAACTATTCCTGGATAGTGTGTCCATTGTGCCAATTCTTGTGCTTCTGAACAGACGTGAGGACAGATCACTCCTCCTCCCTTCTCGCTCCTCCCCCAGCAGCTCTGTCCAGGCGCTCTGATTTAGGACTCCCGGAGAGTCTTGGCAACGTGAGTGGGTGGGAGGGGGTGTGGCCAGCCTCACAGATAATCACGCCCAGCCCCTCCTTTTACCTAGGGCAGCATGAGCAATGAAGGTAAGTGCTATGGTGGTGGAACGTTTGTAGTATATGTTTATGTAGCATGTGTGTGTAGCTGTGTGAATGTAGTGTATGTGTATGTAGTATATGTGAATGTAGTAAGTGTGTATGTAGTAAGTGTCTATGCAAGGTTGCCAACCATTTGTATGTTTAGGGACAGTTTGTAAATTTCAGGTGTTATGTCCGCAGTCTCTGTCCATCCCTTGCGCCCTGTACGCAGTTGCTGTCTATCCCTTGCGCCGTGTCCGCAGTCTCTGTCCATCCCTTGCACCGTGTCCGCAGTCTCTGTCTATCCCTTGCGCAGTGTCCGCAGTTTCTGTCCATCCCTTGCACCGTGTCTGCAGTCTCTGTCTATCCCTTGCGCAGTGTCCGCAGTTTCTGTCTATCCCTTGATCCATGTGTGCAGTTGATGTCCATCCCTTGCGCTGTGTCCACAGTCTCTGTCCATCCCTTGCACCGTGTCTGCAGTCTCTGTCTATCCCTTGTGTAGTGTCCGCAGTTTCTGTCCATCCCTTGCGCTGTGTTCGCAGTCTCTGTCCATCCCTTGTGTCGTGTCTGTAGTCTCTGTCCATCCCTTGCACAGTGTCCGCAGTCTCTGTCCATCCCTTGTGTCGTGTCCGTAGTCTCTGTCCATCCCTTGCACTGTGTCTACAGTCTCTGACCACGCCTTGCGCCATGTACACAGTCTCTGACCATCTCTTGTGCCATGTCTGCAGTCTCTGGCCATCCCATATGCCATGTACGCAGTCTCTGATCATTTCTTGTGTCAGGTACGCAGTCTCTGACCATCTCCTTTACTATGCCTGCAGTCTCTGACCAACTCCTGTACTACGCCTGCAGTCCCTGACCAACTCTCGTACTATGCCTGCTGTCCCTGACCAACTCCTGTACTACACCTGCAGTCTCAGACTATAGTTCTATACTAGGCCTGCAGTCCCTGACCAACTCCTGTACTACACCTGCAGTCCCTGACCAGCTCCTGTACTACGCCTGCACTCCCTGACCAACTCCTGTACTACGCCTGCACTCCCTGACCAACTCCTGTACTATGCCTGCAGTCTCAGATCATAGTTCTGTACTAACTGCAGTAACCTCTAGAAACTACTCAGTGAGCGGTAATGATGTGCTGTAACCTCTAGCAACCAAATCAGTGAATGTAAACCAGTTCTTTATGTTTACATTAAGTTTTTTGAGATAAGTCTATGATTGTGCTTATTTATTTTTTTTTTTTTGGGATCTTGGGGTGGAGAGCAAAATTTCAAGGGGGCGGAGCCCAAGAGAGTCTCAAACTCTGTTTAACCACACCACCTTTAAACCAAGCCCAATATTTAGCATAATTTAAACCACACCCATTTCTGGCAGGGCACACAAAGCCACACTTTTTTTCCTAGGCCACACCCACAAATGAATGCCCCACCCCTAATCCATATACTGCTCCACCTACACTGTCTTTCTGGTCATGCAAGAAAAAAAAGTGTCTCTAAAAAATGTTTTTAAATGTTGGCAACTATGCAATAACACAACTACCTAACTTAACAATTTGCTTTATTTGGTTTTTTTTTTTAATAATTTTTCTGTTTTGGGGCCTTATTGGCATACAGTTTTAGGTAGTTTGGCGCCTATTCCTTCTGCAGGGACACAGTTGATTTCTTTAAAATTGTCTGATAATTAGTTAGAATTGGTTATTTTGTCTATGGAGAGAAATTAATTATTTAATTTATTATATATCTACACTGTTACAGACAATTTTAGAATTTTTACGCAAATATCTTTGTGTCTATGCAGATCACAAATCTGACTATTATTTATGGTGTTTGAAAGTGACTTATGTAAATAAATATTCATTTATGTAACCAATTTCCCACTGCCCTATAGCAGTACTACTACAGGGTGGCAGGGATGCACAAAATCACATATATATATATATATATATATATATATATATATATATATATACAGTATATACATGATTCTGTAGTTCTGGGTACTGCTCCACCATTGGCTCCTTGGGATGTCAATCGCCGATTCTCGGCCGGGACTCGGTGATCATCGGCGGGCTGACAGGGGAGAGATCTGTATGTAAAAAATACAGATCTCTCCCCTGTCAGCAGGAACAGGATGCTTTGTATTGCTCTGCATAGCAGAGCAATACAAAGCAGCTTGTTTCCCTAGTAAAACACACACAGCACACAGTTCACACTTGCCCAGGTGTTAACCCCTTCCTGCCCAGTGTCATTAGTAAAGTTTTAGCACTTTTTATTAGCACTGATCACTGTCAGTTCCCCCCCCCCCCCCATGCTGCTTAAGCTGGCGCTGGCCCTGAGCAGATGTCACTTATGAGCAGGGGTGGACTGACCATTTGGAAACTCGGGCACTGCCCGAGGGCCTGGGGTCAGTAGGGGGCCCCATGAGATGCCCCTGGTACCTTTTTTCATAGGCTTTTTTGAGTTTGGGCAAGGACACAGGGGCCCCATGATCCCCTATTGCCCGGGGGCCCCATGAGTTGTCAGTCCGCCCCTGCTTATGAGTCTAATGAGCACACCCATATATATGATAGGTAAGGCTGGGTTCACTTTCAACTGACATCAAGATGCACATAGTATGAAGGATTATTATTTCCTCTACTTCCAGACCACTTTCTTTCTGTTCGCTCATCTGAGATTTCATTTAATTGGATACTGTAGGGGATTTTACATTGTTCCCTACTTTACCATCACTCTTTCTTTTTCTGCTTATGGGGGCACCCATACAGTCATGTTTAGAATCATGGTAACCACTTGCCTGTCCCTTTTACAAGGGATTTATACTTTATTTCCTACCATGTATTTCTTATCGGATGTCTTATGGGATTTCTCCTTTTTCTGGGTAAATGGATCTTTCACATCTGTTTTTTTCACCCCAAGCACTTTCATGTTTCATCCATGTGACTGGTGGAGATCCCTGTTGGCTCACCCTCTCTGTCATACACCAGGTGGCCCCTATGGATGTGCGTTGGCCCCTGGGGATGTTTCCCCATCCGGGTCCGGAGTGGACGAGCAGTGTGTTGACAGCCCTAATCCCGTATCCATCTGTATTCAACATTCATCATTTATATGTTGTTGTTGATCTAGTATGTACATATAGTACATACTCTGCAAAATGACAATGTGTTGATATTATATTGGTTTTATTTTAAGTGAATGCTAAACTTAATAATGTAATTGCTAAACACAGAATACCTCATGTTTTATCCCCCCAAGAAAGAGTTTTTCAGAAATGTGTTGGGTTTTGTTTTCACTAAAATTTAAGCCACAATAGAAATACTACAATTTTTTTATATACTATGGAGACATGGAGCTTTAAATAATTTTTAGCTGTTTTTATGTAATAACACATATATAATATTTTTGTGTATGTAATGTTATTGTGTACTTTGTGGATCTTTTGCAATACATTTGGCGTATTAGACTTTTATTGAAATATACACAATTGTCTTATCCGCCTTAAAAGTCCCATGGGGATCTTGTATGATATTTTTCAGTTAAGTTAGGGATGTTTGCATTAATAAATATCACCCACCTATTCCTTCCGTTTTATTTGAAGACCTGGGACCTGTTTTTCCAAGACATCAAGAGCAAACAGCATGGAGACAGGACTATTTTCCACACTACTAGAAAGGTTGCGTTCACCATTTCATTAGGGGATTCATGGCCTAACCAAATGTAAATCACATACTCCTTTTCTCCAGAATATTAATACAACCACTGTAGAAATACTACACTACAAGGAATCTCCTGCCTTTCCTTTTTACTTTTATTTGGTGGTTACCTCACAGCCATCTTTCATTCTGACACATGACTTGGAGGAGTACAAACCCACATACATGAAATATATATGATGTTCCTTCTGATAGTTGATTTTTATGATTAAAAAGGATATATGTTTTTTTTTAACCACTTGC